AAATGAGGGTGGAGACAGGTGTGGGTGTTTCTCCTTTTCCACCCACATTTTGATGTTGTCAGTCTGGGGAGTTGAACCTGCAACTTTCTAATCACAGGCCCATCTTCTCTAACCTCTGCGCTACCACTCCCCCATCATGGCACGATGACGCCAACTCGACCACATCATCTGCCTATCACAATGATGGAATCCTGAGGCCGCCACATGACTCCATTTGCCCCCTAGCTGCACCAGTAAATTCTGTCTATAAAACTTATGAACAGAATCCGGACAACAAGCAGCCCTGGTGGAGTCCAACTCCCACCCTGAGGGGGTTCAACCTACTGCCAGGAATGTAAACCAAACTCTCGCACCACTTGTAATGGGACTGAATGGCCTGTAGCAGCAGACTCCTAATCCCATACTCATGGGACTCCCATGAACCCTTGAGGACCCTAATGAAGGCAAGTAGCTGGTCAAGTGTTCCACAGCCAGGACAAAACCCCCATTATTTCTGCTGAATCTGAGGTTTGACTATCGATTGGACTCTTTTCTCCAGCACCCCTGAATAGACCTTACTGCCATAAGAAGAGTGATTCTCCAATAATTTTTTAACACACCCTCCAGTCTCCCTTTCTGAAGAGGGGAACCACTGCCAGTCTAGTGGCACTTCCCCCGATGGATAATCAAGACATCCCAGCTGAGCTTTTTAACTCCCTCATTGACCAGATCAACCCACAAGTCCCCTGACTCAGCTTTTACCATGGAAGAGGTGCTGATGATAGAGAAAGCCCAAGAAGTAGTCCTTCCACCTCACAACAAAATCACTGGTTGAAGTCAACAGTACCTCATGTACATAGTGTTAGTATAATGCTGCGTTTCACCCTTATCTGCCTAATGGTTTGCCAAAAACTCATCTGAGCCAGTTGAGAGTCTCTATCCAAGGCCTCACTGAACTCCTCTCTCATCCAAGCTTTTGCCTCAGCAACAACCAGGGCTGCAATCTGCTTGGCCTGCTGGATGAGGGACACTAACTCTGTCCAGACAAGTATTTTGAATCTCTTTTTGTCCTGCCTGTCATTGAAAGATGGTAAAAGTCATCATTATTTCAATTTTACATCTCCAAAAACTGGCATTTTAACATTTGTTTGTCTACTCAGATTTTGTTTGAAATTTAGGATGATATAATTCATAAAATCAATGCTAAACGTTCATGGTAAGGCATATTGTGCCACATCATGTTTTCTCTGCTGGTAGCTGGAGTAATTGGTTTGCTCAAGTAATCTTTTATTTTACTGGAATTATCTATCTTTTGCATAGTTGTACATTCTAATTCACAAACACCCTCAATACAATTTTTTTCTACCATTGGATTGTCTCTTGAGAATGATTTGTTCAATTAGCTTTGTAGAGATCTAGTAGAGTGCTGTATGTATGGGTAAATGAGGACACAGATTGTAGTGTAAAGAGCTTTGAGTGTCTTGATAAGAAAGAAAGGCGCTAAGTACAGTCCATTTAACATTTATTTTCTTTCAACGCTTCTTGGTTTTCATTGGTGTATTTGAAATCTGCTAGCTCTTGCTAGCTTAGCTTAGCATGGCTTCTAGTTCTCTCCCAGCTTTGTTTGTTCTTCAAGTTTTCTGTGTGTCAGATGTTCAGCTATTCCACTCCATCATTTAGTGATAATGGTACATATAATAAATGTAGTCTATTGGTAGGTTTAGACGAGAGGCTGTCTGAGTTGGAAGCTCGGCTCCACGCTGGAGAAAGACCATTAGCTAGCCAGGTCACCTTAGGTAATGCAGAGCTATAGAGAATAGCACCCGTTAGCAACAGGGCTTAGTTTGTAAACAAATTGATGCCGGAACACAGATAGCGGGCGGGTCGTGGGTCCTCCCCCAGAAAATTTGGAGTAAAAGAGATGCCATTTCCTACATTTTGGTGTATTTTAACAGGTTGTTAAACATCTGTAAACATTTTAATAAATTGGTTAAAACCAGGACAGCACGGTGGCGCAACTGGTAGAGCTGCTGCCTCTCAGCGAGCAGGTCTCCGGTTCAAATCCCGGTCCAGAGGCCTTTCTGTTTGGAGTTTGCATGTTCTCTCCGTGCATGTGTGGGTTTTCTCCGGGTACTCCGGTTTCCTCCCACAGACCAAAACATACATGTTAGGCTGATTGGTAACTCTAAATTGTCCATAGGTGTGAGTGAGAGAGTGAATGGTTGTTTGTCTCTCTCTCTCTCACACACACACACACACACACACACACACACACACACACACACACACACACACACACACACACACACA